TGATTCTGGAGGATGGCCGATAAAAACATTCTTGGTTCCAAAGTTTTCAAGAGCTCTGGAGGCAGGTCAGGCATGAAAACTGTGAAAATGATGGCTTGTCCTGTAGAACTCTATAAGGAAGAATGGGGCTGAGTCAATTATTGAATAGCAACTTTTTCTTTCCTTTCCTTTCCTTTTTTTTTAACCAGTGGGAAGCTGAACATCTCAGAACATCTATTATTATCACCAAAAACATAGATGTCATAAAATTTATAGCGCTCCATTTAGAGATTGGAAGATCTAGGCATTAAACACTTAAGCCATTTTCTAATGCTATAAAATAAGATTAATGATGTATCCTTTTTAATGATCCCTTTTCTAAGATTAAAATCTTTGATGTGGAAAATGTTCATTGCTGTTCCTATTTCGAGGCCTGGGTGAATTACCTTACCTTCTCTGACTGTGACAGACCCCTGTGCCTACTGCAAAGTTCTACCTTCCCATTTATTGGGTTTCCCAGGTTTTCTAAATTTATTGATTTAACTCTAGTGGTTCAATTTATTCCAGAAATGTATTCACTAACTGCATGGCACTGCACCTTCTCACACAAGAGCGTTCGTCTATGGTTGACAGTGGAATTGTTGTCAGTCATCAATAGGAATACATGAGCATGTCCTGTTTAGAGTTCTGCAGGTAGAACTTGGGTAATATGAGGGATCGTGACTTGTTTGCATGAGGCTCTCAATGAGGATGTATTGTTGAAATTTTAATTGTAATTCAGTGGGTAAGCAAGAAATAATAGTTCAGAGCATCGTTCCCCAGAGTCCTTTCATTGTGACCAGGGTTTAAAGTAAGTGGCAAAGTAAACAAAAATGCCACCCCCCAAATATGGAGCAACCCTCCCCCCCCCAAACTACCCCCACCCTGACTCTTGGAGCTTCACTGTGGCTGGAGGCTGCTGTCCCCAGCAGTGCTGCAGCCGTAGACACTGCCTGCTCACGGGACAGACCTGTCTTGTGTCTCAGCACACAGCCTAATGCGCTACTCCTTCTGCTACTATCACTCTAGTTTCAGCATAGCTCTTCCATATTTTAGCCCGAATGGCTGACGCTGGTTGTATTCAGTGATGGGAGACAGAAACTAGAGAACAAAAAGAAGAGCTGCTGCTGCTTCCTCTTTTCTCCCTCCTCAGCCAAGCATGATGCAGAAGGTCAGCTCTTAGAGGAGGAGCAAGCAGGCCAGGACTGCTTCAGCATCCACTTGTGAGCAACTTAACACTCACATGGTAACACCATGCGAAGTTCGCGAACGTAAAAAGAAATGACACCGGGTCCTCTTCCCCAGATGAGATGAGTAGCATGCAGACCACAGGACAGCAGCCCCCGCGGTGCAGCGTGCTGTGTACTGCTGCAAAAGGAGAGACACACATGCCTGAGGACGAAGCCACTAACTGGGAGTAGGGGAGAGAGAGAAGGGGGCATGGGCTGTGGGTTTTGATGGCTGAACAGGAGTTTCCTAGGGACCTGGGGAAGGGAAGAGTGGACAGGACAGAAATAAATAAAGCCAGAGTTCTGTGTCGCAAACGGTGGACTGTCAGTACGGCTGGTGGGAGGGGCCGTGCAGCACCCAGTCAGCAGTAGGGCTGGGTGGGCAGCTCAGGGCCAGACTATGAATGAGCTTTCTAGTGTGTATGGCTCTGGCCAGGCACAGTCATGGTTTTCAAGCAAGGACTTGATTTAAATAGATCAGATTCTTCTAACATGGAACTCAGGAGGGAGACCAGGCATAGGGTGGCTACCAAGCGCCTGCCAGAAATGGTGAGGCCTGGGCTGGGGAGGATGGAGAAGCTGGACCCAAAAGACATGCTTAGGGAGAAGCGACTGCGATTTGTGAGGGAGTGAGATGGGAGACCCGCAGCTTCTGACGGGAGTGTCGAGTGGACGGTGACACCATGCACTCAGAAAGGCAGTCATAGAAGGTCCAGCAGGTTGGTGGGGAAGCTGGTGGAAAGGCCCTCGAGGCATCTGCCTGCCTTCTCTGCTTTTCACCCCTTGCCCTGCCCTTGTCAGTCTTGTGAGCCTTGGTGAGCGTCGGGGAACTTCACTGGGAGAGGCAGAGCCATGGCCCCAGCTGTGCCCAGCTTGGAGGGGGTGCACAGGAGGAGTGTGGCCTGGAGAAGCCTGCCCACGCCTCCTTCTGTGGGGGCCAGCGGTGGCTTGGGCTGGTGCTCCCATGCTTGTGCATTCTATTAGCCTGTGCTAGTCCACAGGCCAGCGGCTGGGTCTCATCCCAGCGGCTGGGTCTCATCCCAGCAAGGAAATCTGGAGCTTCCCGCTTTCCTCTTGCTTTTCTTTAGACAAGGTATATGGTGAACTCAGTCCTTCCCCAGCTGCTTCTGGGGGGTGTGGCAAAGCACAAAGTGTTGAGATCTCCTGGTTCAAGGAGAGAGGGATCTAGTGCCTGAAAAACGTGACAAGAACACTTGGCTTTTCTGAAAACACTCATCATTCTTTCCTAGCATAGCAGTTATTTTCTGCCCCCGGGCTTTGGCGACAGTGTTGTCTGGTTCCACAGATGTCAAAAACTCAAGTTTATGCAAAGCCTTTCACTTCTCAGGCTCCAAAGGCCTCCACAAGCTCCCCTCATCTGTGTTCATGGACTTGAATTTCATGTTGTCGAATGAGTGTCAGGTAGTGGCAGAAATAACGCATGTATCACACATTTATTGATTTATTTCCCTTGGATTCATTTTACTTTAGAACACCATTACCCAAAGCAGAACTCCGGAAATGCTAGTCCTACAACATCATCTTTGAAGAATGGGTTTCATTTTCAGATGCTTGGGAAATATTGCGTTCCCTGTGCTGCTGTTGCACATCAATTCTCAACTCACAGTAAAGGCTCTGAGAAGGCCTGCATTGTAAAACTGTGCAGACAGGGTCTCCCCAAGTTGTCACACACGAGATCCTGGACTCTGCTTAGTGGTTTTCGTTTTTTTTCTAAATGCGTTTTGAACAGCCAGGGTACAGACTACCGTGAAGACCACCCTAGGATACACAAACCATGAAAGCCTTTCTAAGTCATGTTGTTGAGTCTGTAAAAGAGGAGGAAATTTGGGAAATGGGCAGCAGGCTTTTCCTGGCCCTCAAGAGAGGATCTCACTCCTTTTTGCATTGATCTCCCTTTTCCATTTTTACTTTGCCTCTGATTAAATTTTCTTATTGCTCTTCACCCCATTTCTTGGTGTTTTGCCTCAGATGAAAGTAGGGTAATTAGTTCCTTATCTCTGTTTTAAAGAATTTCATCTGGCTTCCAGCTCAGTGGCTAATTATGGCTTTATGGATTTCCTTCTTTGAAATACATCTATGCTAAATACTGCCAGCTTCTCATTCACTTCAAGCTAAAGTGGGAAGCTCTGTAGGCCTAAATCTCTCCCTTCACTTTAGATTCATACTGTTAATGATAAAAAGGGGGAGAGGAGGCTGGGTGTGGTGGCTCATGCCTGTAATCCCAGCACTTCGGGAGGCCAAGGTGGGCAAATCACTTGAGGGCAGGAGTTCAAGACCAGCCTGGTCAATGTGGCAAAACCCCATTTCTACAGAAAACAGGCAAAAATTAGCCAGGTGTGGTGGCACACACCAGTAATTCCAGCTACTCTGGAGGCTGAGGTGGGAGGATTGCTTGAACCCAGGAGGTGGAGGCTGTAGTCTGCTGAGATTGTGCCACTGCACTCCAGCTTGGGTGATGGAGTGAGACTCTGTCTCAAAACAAAAACTAAAACAAAAACAAAAACCAGCAAAGTCCTAAGTCAGTCCAAAAAGTGGGAGAGGAATTAGGTGGACTAACAAAGTAATCTGTACATGTTATAACTTCAGGCTATTTCTGTTTGTCAGGAGATTGCTTTTCCTGGGTCAATTATTTGGTTTCTCTGTGGCTCAGTTTTCTCATCAGTAAAATGGGAGAATAACAGCATGTAACTCACAAAATTGTAGCCAGAAAGAAATGTCAAGCATTTAGAATAATGATTGGCACAGAGCTTTAATAATAACAACAACAACAAGGCCGGGTGCAGTGGCTCATGCCTGTAATCCCAGCACTTTGGAAGGCCGAGGCAGGTGGATCACGAGGTCAGGAGATCGAGACTATCTTGGCTAACACGGTGAAACTCCGTCTCTACTAAAAGAAAAAAAAAAAAAAAAATTAGCCAGGCGTGGTGGCAGACGCCTGTAGTCCTACTCGGGAGACTGAGGCAGGATAATGGCGTGAACCTGGAAGGCAGAACTTGGCAGTGAGCCAAGATTGCGCCACTGCACTCCAGCCTGGGCGACAAAGCAAGACTCTGTCTCAAAAAACAACAACAACAACAACAAAAAAACAAAAACCAAAACAATACAATAATAATACATAATACTACTCTAAAGAGATACTTAAATGAGTTTTTCTAAATTTACATCTAATTCTTTTTCCCAGGCTTTACTCAATAAAATCAATCATGATAAATCCTGGAAAACAGAGCCTTAACATCACAGTGTTATTAATTCACCAAGCATTGCTAGCACTTTTTACTTTATTCTGGACATCCAAAAATGCTTCTGGTCTGGACACTCGAATAGCAGAGTGAGCGAGAGGTCCTGGGGGGAATTTGGAGGTCTGAGTCCTGGTTCCCAGTCCCCCACTTCCTAGTGATGGGCTCCTGGGTCACTACCAAATGACCAGCGCTGACATGCACTGAGGGCTTACCAGGTGCAGAGCAAAGTTCAAAGCACCTTTCCTGCATCTCCATTGTGGACATGGGACAGTGAGGTGACAAGAGGCGCTCAGTCACCAGCGAACCTCAATTTCATCTGTGAAATAATAACACCTCCCACTCATCCCTCCCGGTGGGATTATCAGAAGCTTGAATGACATTGAGTGTCTAGAAAGTACTTTGAAAGCTGCAGTGTTCTGGTGGATGAATGTAGGAGGTCCTCAAGTTTTCACTGAAAAGCTTCTGGTTGATGCGTGATTTCTCCCCTTTGCAGGAAGCCGACAAGAAGCATGTTGCCGAGTGATCTTGGGTTTCCATCCTCCATGCCTGTGCATCCACACGTGGGCCCAGCCAGCAAGGAGAAGTCTAACAGGCAGGAGGAGGGGAGACACAAAGAGCCCCCGCAGTAAGTCACAAGAAACCGCCTGCACTCTGACTTTCTTTAGCTTCCTCAGCATTTTGTACGGGACTCCCATTGACCGATGTGGGGGTTAGAACTGGAAGGAAAGGTCCCTCTCCTCCCATCTGGAGGTGTTGAAGTAGCACTGGGCAAAGCCCAGGGTGGTACCTCTGGGGCTACGGCAGGACAGGGGTGTTTAGTGGGTTGGAAGCCCCCGTCCCCAACAAAACATCTCTGACCTGGTTTAAGACATTGGAGGTCCACACACATTTCATTTGAAAAAGGAGTTTCTAACTCTTAAGATAGAAAATCACCAATGAAGTCCAACCCTTAGTGAGAATCAACTGACCTTTCCTCTGCACTCCATCACATTTTAATTTTTTTTAACTTTTTTTTTTGGAGACAGGGTCTTGCTCAGTTGTCCAGGCTGGAGGGCAGTGGCATGATCATAGCTGACTGCAGCCTTGATCTCCTGGGCTCAAGTGATCTCATCTCAGCCTCCTGAGTAGCTGGGACCACAGGTGTGTGCCACCAATTAGGTGTGCAGCTAATTTTATTATTTTTATTTTTTAATAAATATAAGGTCTTGTGTTGTTTAGGCTAGTCTCGAACTCCTAAGATCAAGGAATCTTCCCGCTTTGGCCTCTGAAAGCGCTGGGATTGCAGGGACAAGACATCTTTACGTTTTGTGGAGGTTCTGTTTGCTTCTGCACCTTGGTCCAATCCTAGCATGGTCAGTTATCACCAAGTTGGTGTCTCTTATGCCACTGCATGTTCCCGAAGGAGAAATAGTTTATTTTTCCTTGTGCCCCACCTCAAAGGACGATCAACATATTAAGCCGACACTCCAGAATGTATAGGCTTCCGATCAATGCGCTGTCTTGCCAATGGTCCCAGAACTACCCTCTCTTCAATATGCCTCTTTTGACAGAGCTCAAGGTACAGGAAAATCTCAAATGCAGAAAAATCTTTGAATGTGAATTTAATTTTCAGTGCATCAAAAAATCATTTAGCACTAGGAAGATCGTCTCTCTGATGGGAACGGTGTGTACCTCTAAAGAATGGGTTCCTTGAGAGGGTAGGAAATGATTCTGAAGGCTTCTTAACATGAAATGCTGCTATGCTGGTTGAAAAAAAAAATCATTTCTGTTATTTCAGAATTCTACTTTCTGCTTCCTTCCCAATCATACAAGCTACATGACATTGAACTCTGTGTGCTAGGCAGTTCTGCAAAGGGACAGGCGGTCCTTGGGTCTGGGTTGAAAACAAGAGCTTAAGTCCAGTCTCTCCAAGCACTGGTTAGCTGCATGCAACATGGCATGTCCACAGATGCTGCATTCTGAAGAAGTCAGGATCACCAGCAACAGATAGAAAGAGACCCTGGGCGTGATGGCTCATGCCTGTAATCCCGGTACTTTGGGAGGGATTGCCCGAGTCCAAGAGTTCAAGACCAGCTTGGACAACACAGAAAGACCCCTGTCTATAAAAAAAAAAAAAAAAAATTAAAAAAGACCACGCTGGGAAACATACTGAGACTCTGTTTCTGCAAAACCCAGGCTGGAATGCAGTGGCACGATCTTGGCTTACTGCAACTTCCGCCTCCCAGATTCAAGTGATTCTCCTGCCTCAGCCTCCCAAGTAGCTGGGATTACAGGCATGCACCACCACACCCGGCTAATTTTTGTATTTTTAGTAGAGGCGAGGTTTCACCATGTTGGTCAGGCTGGTCTTGAACTCCTGGCCTCAAGTGATCCACCCGTCTCAGCCTCCCAAAGTGCTGGGATTACAGGGGCTAGCCACCAAACCCGGCCTTTTTTTTTTTTTTTTTTTTTTAAGGGTCTGTATTTCAATATGTTGCCCAGGCTGCTCTGGAACTCTTGGTCTCAAGTGATTCTCCTGCCTCAGCCTCCCAAGTAGCTAGAATTACAGGTGCACACCACCTAGCCTAGTTTATCTCAAATTTTTAAATAGAAATTTGTATTCCTGAAAGAAATATGAAAAGGACCAAAGCAAAGTGCTTTTCACTTGTTTGTTTGCATGTTGAAAGTGAGATTGCCTTTAGATCCTCTTTCCCAATATTACTATAAATTAAACTAACTTTAAAGCGATGAACTTTCCTCCCAAGCTTACTGCACTATCTAAAGGCCCTTGTGGTCTAAAAGCAAAAGATCATATGTTTTAAGGATGAATGGTGCCATTGCTACTATGTGAATGCTCACTATGTTTAGGCTCTGTGTTGAGTTTTACTCAGTCACTCATTTAAAAAATTTATTTATTAATGCATCACTTCGTTTATTCACTTAGCACCTGTCTTGAATACCTGCTATATCCCACGAACTGTGGTAGGCACTGGTGGAAGCAGATGTCAGTGAGATACATGAAGGAGGCCTGTAGTAAAGATAGAAATTAAGACAAACAAACACAAAAATGCCTGAGAATTGGCCAGGCCTGGTGGCTCATACTTGTAATCCCAGCACTTTGGGAGGCCAAGGCGGGTGGATCATTTGAGGTCAGGAGTTTGAGACCAGCCTGGCCAACATGATAAAACCCCGACTCTACTAAAAATACAAAAATTAGCTGAGCGTGGTGGCAGATGCCTGTAATCCCAGGAGGCTGAGGCAGGAGAATTGCTTGAACCCGGGAGGTGGAAGTTGCAGTGAGCCGAGATTGCGCCGCTGCACTCCAGCTTGGGTGACAGAGCGAGACTCAGTCTCAAAAAAAAAAAAAAAAAAAAAAAAAAAAGCCTGAGAATTGTTGTGTTACCAAAAAGAAAGCACAGAGTGCCACAGGAGTCCTCCAGTGTTTGGCTGCCCCATCTTTCCCTAAGCTTTACAACAACGCTGTTATGCCCACTGTGCAGATGGGGAAACTGAGGGGTGGAGCTTACTTATGGAGCAAGAGTTTGCAAAACCAAGTTGACGAAACTCTACATGTTCTTACCACTCCATCTCCTCCCTGGCTTGGAATTTCCATGCTGAAGAGTCCAGATGGACCTTAATTTTAGAGACCTTAGAATGAGTTTAGGTTTATATGCTCCAGAACTCACTAGAAATGTCAGGGAAGGGACAGCCATGGGGAAGGGGGTGCATTGTGCTGAGAATTTTGTATAAGAAGCCAGCTAAACAGTGAAAGGTGGTGATCATTTTTCAAGTGTCCTCGGTTTTTCATGTGTCATAAAATTGTATTATTCAGGAAAAATCCCCACAATCAAATTAAAAACTTCTATGAAAATATAAAAAGAAAAACTTACTGATGCATGCTTATAAACTGGCTACAGTACTTTCTCTGTGGCCTCAGGGCTGGAGGGCTATGCTTTTTCAGAGGTGACCACGGACCATCCAAACACAGCCTCCTTCCATTAATGTGACCTTCTGTTAACCAGCATAGACTCTTCTGGTCCCATTCAGAGAGTGAATTCCTTCATTAGCTGGGAAGGCGTGGTCCCACCTACTTATAGGAATGAGGGGCCACCTTCATCCTACCCCATAGGGTGCAACTGGCCACAGCCTTACCTATCCGTATAATGCACAATTGTCATGTAATAACCCCGTGGGCCACCCGGACTTGGGCTATGTTTCCTCAGCTCCCTGGGAGTGGTGGTGGTTATAATCATGTTCTGCAGTCCCAATGAAGGCTCCCACCCAGTTGAGGAAAAGTCAGCCTGTTTGTTGCGGCAAGATCAGCCCACATGGGCAGGGTATCCCCCAAGTGAGGCAGTGATGCGGCTCCCAGGGGCCCCAGGACAGGAGCCACACTGCCGGCACACACCTCAGACTCCAGGCAGCAGCTGCTACCTCCAGGGTTCAGCTCCCAGTTCCCCGGCCCACTCTGTTCTCCCACGCTTCACCTTGCTCCAAGAGAAAGCTTTGTTTCATGCTTCAGAAAACTGCAGTGGGCCTGGAAAGCCTTTCAGGCAGAGGCATTCTAATTAGTATTGTGACTTCCCTGGGAAAATCATTTTCCAGGCTTCAAAGAACCTCTGATGATTCTCTAACTTTTCATGAGGGTCCCTGGGACATCTCAACCATGAAGCTCATTCCACTTAGGTTTTTGAATCAGAAATACAGGAATTTTCCGCTGGTAGTGGCTGGAGCTTCCTTGAGATGAGTGAAGAGCAGGTGAGCTCTCCTGCCTCCCACCATCACCAGCCTGGATCAGGAGGGGAGAAGGAACTTGCTTGCACATTTTGCAACCAAACCCCATGGTAGAAAAGGGCCCTCATAGTGGGTCTTAAGATAGATGAAAGGAAAAAAAAAAAGAGCCCTCACTTGCTCCATTTCCCCAGCCACTGCCCATGGATGCCATCCGCTGATCCCTCCACTTATTTATTCAAGTATTGCTCCAGCATCCCCTGTGTGCCAGGTGGAGGCCTCTGCTGGGGTGCAGTGGTGCACCCTGAAGTCCCGTTCTGGCAGGGGAGACAGAGCATGGACAAATGAGTAAGTGGACCCCGAAATGTCAGGTAGCAATGCTGAGCCAGAAGGATCAGAAGTGGGGGACTGAGGTGTGGGAGGACGTGTGCACTAAACAGGGCCTCAGGGAAGGGGGAGGTGGTCTCTGAGCAGAGATCTGGTGAAGTCCAGGAGAGTCCCATGTATATCCAGGAGAGCCTTGGTCCAGGCACAGGGCAGGGAAGGAGCGGGTCCTGAAATGACATGGGCTGGCCTGTGGAAGGAGCACCTGAAGGCTGGCACGGAGGGAGGGACTGGCCGCAGGGAAATTTGACCAGCGACTGCTTCATGCGGTGCAGGACTGGCAGCAGGGGACCTTGACCGGCCGCTCCATCATGGGGCACCATCTTCTGATCTCTAAGTGGCCCTTTCCATGGAGCTGTCATGGATAAATGTTTTCTGTAGCTATTGTGGAGCACTGGGTCCTGTTCCTTTCTACGAGAGCAGCCGTTTCCAACTGGGTGTGACTTTGCTCCCCACGGGACATCTGGCAAGTCTGGAGACGTTGTCACAGCTTGTGTGTGTGTGCAGAGGCGCACATCCAGTGGGTAGAGG